TTTAAAAGTTTCTGAAAAACTGGTTTTCTAGAAAACTGGGTCTTCAAGAAACATTGGGGAAAATGCTTTATGCCACTAAAATCAGCTCGTCGAGCTTTACAAACTGGGATATCTCCCACTCAAAACGGTGGTTCACACTTGGGGACCCTCCCTCGTTAGATATGTGCTTGACAAAAAATAAAAATTAACCGTGAACTGGATCTCGGTATTTTTGCTTTAACTCCTGTTTCTTAGGTGCCCTAGAACAAATTCTTTTTTTAATAGAAGCGCTGTGAAATTCTCTACAAAATTATATCTAAACTTTAGTTCTAGATTTGCAACGAAGAAAACTAAGCAAATTATATACTAGGCGAAAAACATAAAAACTTTGTAAATTTGGTATTGCTTTTGTGTTCCACTTTTTCTTTTCCTATTATTTCCGTAAAACAACACAGTAAAAATAAGAACTAAGTTAAGTTAGGTATTTTCAAGTGTGTTCTTTCTCGTGGCATGTAAAAGCATTTTTTTGAGAAGATCGTGTGCTCAATACTCGAGTTTCAAAAATACCTCAAAGTTCGACAACCTTGTTTCTGACAATGTACTCCGGAAGAAGCGTAAAACGTGATCAAAGTTTTGATGTTGTAGCTAGACAGAGAAGAGCAGTCATTTGTGATCAAAACAAGACAAACCTGATCGAAAAACGTTGTGTTTTGATCAAGTTATGGGACTTTTACTGGAAGCACCACCATATAAACCGGATTCTAGGTTAATTTTTATTTTTTGTGAAACACATTTCTAAGCAAGCGTATTACTTTCTTATTACATGAACTACATAGTCAATGAATAGTCATTTTGTAGAGCGTCTTTTACTGCACCTTTTCTTCATAGAGACAAATTTACAACCACGTATTTCACTACATAAAAATTTATTATGCAAATCGAGTCAGGACTTCTTGGCCACCCTTTACACCTTTAGCGCAGATATCGATTAGTCTACTTACAAACGTAAGGTCTGTGCTGAAAAATATTTTTTTTCTGCTGAAGACTTTTTTTTTCTCCATCTTCTTAGAAATATTCGACAATATATCCATTAAGAAGAAACAGACAAACGGCTTCCTGTAATTTATGCCCTATATCATTAGTCGTTTTTTATGGCAGAGAAGTGTACTCCTATGTTAAGAAGAAATTATCTTCATTCATTTCAAAAGTTCTTTAGTCAACCCATGAAATAATTTTAATACTCTAACGTGCGTTAGCAGGCGTTAAATAAAAGAAAAATTTAATGCGAGCATACTAGCTAAATACTGCTGAATGCGTGTTAATGCATTATTTTTCAAACTTATCTGGGGCTGGAAATTAATTCTAATGCACTCAAACGAGCTTTTATAAAAAAAGATATGAAAACGACGTTCAAACTCGTTAATCACGATAATTGTATAACCCTAACGCGTTATGTAAGGGCTTAACACGTTAGAATCGCGTTAAACGTTCCATATTCTATGATTCTAACGAGTAAGAATTTGTAGTGCGTAATAACACTGCCACTTAGTCGTAAATCGTTCAAATTGGTTAAAAATTGAACAAGTTAGTTTCTTGGATGTTTACACTCGTTAGGATAATACTTCGGCTCAAAATGTAATTTTAACGCGTTATAGTGCGCTTATAGTGTGTTTATCCTTTTCAGTCAGGTTTTTGTTCCGTTGATGGATCCCAAGATCCACCTAGCTATAGTCTACTAGATACTGTTCATCAGCACTATTATGGTAGACTAGTCTTTTACACATATATATAGCAAGTGGAAAACTTTCTAAGTGAATGTATCGCATATCTCATAGGGAAAGGCATGGTATTTATATATGAGTTGGTCATGCATAACAAAACAGTGACTGGAAAATTACCGCTCTAACGCCCTTGAACGCTTACGTATTTGGTGACTTAAAATCTATTTTAACCCGTATAAACGAGTTAAGTCTTCCATCCCTGGGCCACAAACGCCCATTTTCGTCAAAAATATCGATTTTGAGAAGAGCCCATGGGTGGATAGCCCAAAATGTTTACTTTCTAATGGCATAATTTTGTGTCGATAGGATAGATTTTGAGTGAGTTTTCCAGAATCCCTATAGCACAAAAAATGTCTTTTTTGCACCTATGGCAAAGTGATAACAAATTATTTAACGCTCCAGCAGTTTTTATGCAAAACTCATTTAACAGAATCAAACTTATTTTGCGTTTTCCTCAAGACTGTGTTTTAGCTTCAGGGGTTTCGCCACACACAGGAATTCCCGGTGATGATACATCGGAGAACCTAGAACTTGACAGAGTCCGATTTTTAAATTATGCTTCTATTTTTTATAAAAATGAGGATTTTTAAGAAACCTTCTATGGATTTTTCGAACTTCAAAGTTCTGGTAGCCAACAGAAATCAGTAAATGAGAAATTCAAAAATCGGGTCCTGTCAACTCCTAGCCATAGGTGTTTACTGCAAAATCAAAACAACCCGAGTTTCCTATCATTTACCTGGAATGTCTTGCTCGTGGTAGATGCCTGTTTTGGGTCCTTGTTGTGGCGCCCTCCCACGAACAATTGCAAATGGCACCAAAAAAAATTTTGTTGCCACACTTTGACATGGTCAACATTCCCTGAAAGTTTGTTTCAGATCAGATCTACTTGTTCTAGGATAGGCTTTCAACCAGAGGGAGTGGCGGGGCTTAAGATACGTTTGTATTTATGCAAAGACGCCGCGACAACGGGAGCAGGGAGGGGAATGTCCCTCTCTGCTTCTTGGAATCTTTCACTCGCAAATTCGAAAGGTTTTCTTCTGGAAATGAGATCAACAATCAGCACCATCTGGTGTATGCTAATAAAGATAACAGCATGTGGAAACGAAGAGGGAATACTTCTAAGCTCTGATTTAATGCTGCATAATGAGCAATCGTTGATTACTTAGTATAAATACCCTCGGTTTAACAGTAAACACCAACACATTTTCTTTTTTTCGTTTTCAAGAAAATCTGCAACGATTTGCATTTTGAAAGCATTGCATTCTTTTCGCTCTCTTTCACTAACTTGTCTGCCAAATCCCGCGGTATAATCGCTTGACTTTAACAAAACTCCTTTGTCCGCTGAGTTTACTCTCAAAGTCATAGTGTGAGGCACAGGTTTTCAGTTATTTCCCCAGGTTATGACGAGGAATCAGTACGTTTTACTCTTAAATTTAAAGACGTTTACATCTCAGACATAAACTGCGGCTTAATGAAAACAACTAAAACCGTGAAAGCGTATTCGAAAAAGCAACAACAGGTTTCAGAATAATTTAGTTGTTTTTCACAGTTAACTGTCGGCAAGTTATATAGAAAACCGTCCAGAAAATGAAAAATATGTTTACTTTTGTTGCCGAAAGTATACCAAAAACTTGAGTGCATGAACTTTTATGCAACTAAAACGTTTTGTCTGTCAAAACTTGCGTATTATTAGACAAATTAAATATTTACTCTCATTTTTGAAATTTTTGATTTACTCCAAAAGGACCCCCTCTCTGCTTTTTTTGTACTTCATGGCGTCCCTGTATTCAGGAATGTACCTGTATTCTTTATTTTTAAACGCGTTTACACCGTATATCGTCGATTTTTGGAAAACTTGAATGAGTGGAAACTCATTAAATTTCTTAGAACCATATTTAACCGGATCTGACTCGTTACCAACCCTAAGAAACGTTAGCACGCATTATATTTGAAAACTTAACCTGTTCAAACGCAATTTTCTTGAAAAAAATGTTTTAACGCCTGTTAACCTGCGCTGAAGCATCAAAATTATTTCATGGGAATTGATATATAGAGGGGTTCTCTTGTTTGCATACTGATTTTTCTCTCTTCAGCGCAATGCTTTCAAGGAAAAAGCAAGAAAGTTAATTTTATCAGAGTAAACGATTTTTCTGAATAGTTTATTTGAATAATGGTACCACTACTATGCATCACAAGCATCTGCTCTCAGTGAATAAATTATTTTGAAGAAAAGTTTTTCTTTTGATATAAGTTGAATTTCACGATGCTGTAGGCGAATGAATTTTAGGTCATAATCAGATTGACAATTAATTTAAGATTATTTGATTAGTTTTCACTCTAACTATTGCAACTTCATAAAAACTTCATAAAATTTATAACTGAGGTGAAATATTTTCATTATATTCGAATTGTCAACAAACACGCACTTTTTGTAGTTGAACTAATCATTCTAATCGGATAAAAAAAAGCATGTAGTGCACATATAGTCAAGTCAGAATTTCTTTCTCTTCTCTTTTTTTTCTTTCTTTACTTACCTTTTCAAAAAGAAAAACAAGATTTCCACTAGAATATATTTAGAAATGTAACAGATATTCGCTTTTTTTTTCTGTACAGAAAAGAAAGACAAAAAACATTCACAAATTGTGAAGTAACTTACTGTTTTCAAAAAAGGATTTTTCTCTTATATATTATGGCTTATCACGGACAACTTCATTCAAATAAATAAGTTTGCATGTAAAAGAACTATCGTATTTGTTCTTAAGAAAAAATTAATAAAAATTGTAACTAACTAGATAATAAAAATAAAAATCTCACTTCAACAGGTCTTTTGAATTACTTTTTCTCATATTTATTTCGTTAGTACTGAATGAAATATCGTAATTTTTTGTGGAGCAAACGATACTTCTCATGGCAAACTATGACAAGTCTGCATTGTAGAAGTTTCTGTAAAGATTTGATACCAGACGACATGGAGAAGAAGATATTTATGCGTTCTAAACACATTTATTACCCTTTTAACTAAATCTGTCCTTTTTTAGAACATGGCATCTAAACTTACTAATGAATGTGAATTATGCAAATCGGTAAGCATGGAAAAACGAGTGTGCAATGATTGTCAATCAACATTTTGTACCATACATTATCATGAGCACGAAAAACACGTGAACACAAAACTGGATCGTTTGATGGCCGAACATTCGGCTTTTAAACATCATTTATCGCAATTAACAAAAAACAAACCAGCACTACTGGTTGAAATTGATCAGTGGGAGATGGAGCAACATGACAAGATTAGACGAGCTGCCGACCAAGCCCGCGATAATATTCGTCGAGTATTAGATGAATCGAATGAGGAGCTAAAAAACAAACTGCGAGCATTAACTGATCGATTAAACTCGACAAAATCTACGCGTCTTCATCTTGAATCTAGTGTTGATCGATTAAGTAATCAACTTGAACAATTAAAAGAGGATCTTGATCAAGCAACGTCTGCAATTCAGCTAAACACAGAAGAAATAAATTGGGAAAAAATGATTGAAATTCGAAAAATACATAAAATAAGAGATTTCAAACATTCATTAGAACCTTCACCAAGACAAATGATGTCTGTCAAAAGTGAAACCTCTTCATCAATAGCATCATCAGGTAAAACTCTACTCTACACTGATGGCAATTCCAGTTTGTGTTTAACCGATAAATTTGGCATGAAAAAAGTGAATATTGAATGGTCAACAGATTGGGGACAGATTGAAGATTGTTGTTGGTCACCACACCTCTCTCGTTTTATCTTGCTGAGTCAGCGGAATCTTTATATTGTCGATCCTGTTAACTATCAAGTCATTCATAATCAAAAGTGGAAGCCCTATAAAAACTATCGATCTTGTACATGCTGTTGTGATGAGCAGATACTTTTCGTCGGTTATTCAGAAGATGGTGCACCTCTTGAAGAACATTCAATAAATGATTGGACAATATCAAAACGGTGGACATTGCTCAATACGTCAGAATTTGTTCAATGCATACGTTTTATCAATAGTGGTGAAACGATTGCATTTCTCATTGGGCTAAACTCTAAGAACTTGAGTCGATTTGAAATTCGAAATCGTCAAACCATGAATATTATTCATCTTCTGCAGTTAGAACATTTTTATTCGCGTCTCATTCACATTCCAAATGAGGGATCGTTAGTCGTTCATTCGAATCAAAAACGTCTTCTATTGCTTACAAAAACATCAGAAAATATTCAAAGGACGGAAATAGATTATGGCGATGGTGTATGTAATGGGACATTGATGGATCAAAACTGTTTAGTTCTAAGAACAAAAACTGAGTTGTATTTTCACGATATTTAACATTGAGTTGTCGTAGTCACATTATATTCTTTTAATAATAGAATAATCGACAAAAAACTTTGATTTATTATCATTATAAACTTTTTTCTTTTATTACACACATGTGACTGAACAAAATTACTATATAATTAGGTATCCAACAGCTCCGAAGCAAAGATAGATAAATAGATGCAGGTAAAATCGACAGATAGATTAAAACGAAACAGTAATTTAACTGAACTCAATCTAGCATAATGACATACTTTGTTCGGATTATCAAACTTGAGGCGCAACGACACCGCTTTACTCACCCTCAAACATCAGTAGTCAAAGCATCAGAATAATTATATTGCTTTTTTCTCTTTCACGGTACGCTCCCATGTAGAGATTTTTCAGTTAATTTTTGCGTTAAACATTAAAATAACGCAGAAAGGAGCGACTTGCGTACAAAATTTGGCAAAAAGGTCAACTAACGCACAATTTTGTCGATAACTTTTTTTGTTACTTTTTGTAAAATTTTCTTTATGCAAAAAATATGATATTTTTATTGTGGATTTTTGCAAAAAACAAAATTTTGCAGAATTATTCAACCAAGTATTTACAAAATTTTGCAGAAAGGTTAACTAATGCAGAATTTTGTGGATAATTTTTTTTTGTCATTGTTGCAAAATTTTGTTTTTGCAAAAAATATGACAAATTTATCGTGGATTTTTTGCAAAAAACAAAGTTTTGCAAAATTATTCAACCAAATATTAACAAAATTTTGTATTAGCCCAAAATTAGTAAAAGTTCTGGGTTTTTTCGCCAAATAAAATTGTTCTTGAAAACAATGCTAAATTTATTAATAAGGCGCCTATATCTGTTTTAAAAGGTAATACGGCATACAAAAATAGTAGGGTGCATAAGAGCAACCACACTGATTTTCTTTAGTCATTCTGCGGCAAAAGATAGAGACTGCCAATATATTTTATTGAATGATATACGATAGGGCACGTCTCATGTAATGCAGAAATTTTTCAGCGAATTTCTGCGTTAAACATTGAAATAACGCACAAAAGAGCGACTTGAGTACAGAATTTTGCAAAAAGGTCAACTAACGCAGAATTTTGCCGATAATCTTTTTGTTGCTTTTTGCAAAATTTTGCTTCTGCAAAAAATATGATATTTTTATTGTGAATTTTTGCAAGAAACAAAGTTTTGCAAAATTATTCAACCAAATATTTACAAAATTAGTAAAAATTTTGCGTTTTTTCGCCAAATAAACCTAATACGTACTTTGCCTTGTCCGTATGTAAGTGCATAAACATGTTATATATTTGATAACTTTTTTGCATAATTTTGTATAAATATCACTAGCATGTAATCCGTTGATTATTTTGCAAAATAACGCAAAAAAGCTGATGATTCACCGATGCCTCTTCACTTTCTTTTATTTTTACGTTTTTTGGATATGGGTGTACTGGGAAAATAATAATAATATATATTATTTTCCGAATGGAACAGTGGTGGAAACAGTTACAACCACATCAAGCACATATGTGCTAGTTGTAACGGTTTCCACTGACGAAATTTGATTGATTTGTTCAAACTTTATAATGAAAAATGGTCGGTCGATCGATCAATTTGCTCAGTGAAAATAGTTACTACATTTTTGTTGCGCTTTTTCGTTTTTTTAGCTCCTATTTACAACCGAACCTTTCATCTGAAGAATCTGTAGCACAAGAAAACGGAGGAAGTGAACGCAGGAAAAATATTCAATTTCCCAACTGTGATCATGCTGTATTGCACAAAACCGATCAGTCATGACTGATCGATTTTGCAGGCCTGATATTCTGATCGAAACAACATTTTTGGTGCTATTTTGTATAAATATTGTGACAAAAATAAATCACCTTTTTTTTGCAAAATTACACAAAAGAAACGGTGAATCATTACGATAACTAATTGTTGCCTTGGAAACACACCGACTGCATTCTTGCGTTGTAACGCAAACAATTTTTTTGCAAAATACGGCAGAAAATTCTGCATGTGTTGTAACGCAAAAAATTCGCTCTTGCAGAATTACGCACAATTTTTGTTTTCATAAAAAATTGTATTAATTTCGCTCGTGTACTGTTATATTTTGAAAAAAGAAGAATTGAATTTGAAAAAAGTTTTTGGAAATTTCTACATGGGCTCCCATGTGATATATTTCCTCAAAGGATTCGCTGTCCCTCATAAATCTCATATCACCTTTTATGAAAACTTCCAAGGGCAACTACAGTTTCTGAAGGAAATGAAAGTTTAAGATTTAAACGAGCTTTGCTTTGAAAGAGGGGTGCATCAAATCTTTTATATCTTCCACCTATTTACATCACTGCATTTTGGTTCTATGCGCTATTTACGTCACTCAAATGGGTGGTTTACATTGCTGAATTTTTTGTTGATGGTATTTACATGACCTAAACTTTTTTGTTTATATCACTGCAAACTTACTGTTTGCATTATCGTGAAAGTGAAAAAAACAAAAAATATACACGATATGACCTTATATGACTTTATATCACCAAGGCAAAAGCCTAATAAAATCACTAAACATTTGAACAAACTTTTTTTATTGCTATGACATTTCGGACTACATTTTACTTTTTTGGCTTTATATGGACAATGTTTCGTGGCACATTGTCCTTTACATTGACAAGCTTCTGCCGCCATATCTACACCGGAACTAATACACATATAATAAATAAAATATAGTAAATTCCGATTTCCACTATAGTGTAAATTAGAATAATCTGTATGATTTTTATTTCTAGTGGAATCCGAAATTCCCCTGAACTTCAATTTCCACTGGCACATACACATAATCACTTGAATCGTAATGCAACAACACATCTTTGTTTTTTCACAATACATCAACTGATCTCTGTTGGAGCTTTATCAAAATTGTTACAATTTGACACTACGTTTAAATTGAATTCAAAGGTTGCCATTATCGGTATTTGGCTGTAGTGATGCTGACAGAAAATTTCATCCATAATATCGAGTCTCGCAAACAAACCGAACATAACACTCTTTTCTTCGTTTTGTTTTACATTCTTGTGTAAAGCACATACACTTAAGTGAAAAATTTTCTTTACATTTTGTTTTGGATTTATCGCAGTTCGCCAATTCAACTTTCGCCAACGCTCGCCAATAGACGGCGAATGTCGCAGGAGCATTCGCCAATTATGGCAAATGTCGTGTGGACATCGCCAATATGGTGAATGTCTATTGGCAAATGTCTATTTTGTATTTTTTGCAGTTACAGGATGAGCACTCCAATGAATACTGAGGACAGGTACTAGTGAATGTCGTGTGCACAATGATGAATGTCGTAGGGGTATTGGCGAATGTCGTAGGGGTATTGGCGAATGTCGTGTGGACATTCGTCAGTCGCCAATATGGCGAATGTCTATTGGCGAAACGCGACTTTACCTTTGTTTTCATTTATGACAGCCATAGCCATCAGATATACGACCGTATATAATCATACATTCTTCCATAAACAACTATGTTCTAGACGAAAAAAAATCGAAGTTATGTCTGACCAGGGAACCATCCTAAGTGATTAATCGTTTTAACTCTGAAATTCTTCTTCTTATATATAATCGACCGTACTGATGACGAATATGAAGTCTGGTCCAATTTCAGTTTCTTAGTCGGAATTCAAAAACCGTGACTTCAAAGGCTCAAAAATTAAAATTATTTGAAAAAAATTTCTGAGTCAGCTGTTTTGTAGTCCACACCAAACTAGCTCTAATCTATAATTTTTACGCTTCCTAACTAAGTTTTAGAGGAGCATTTTTTTGCTCATGATACGGTTCTCACATATAGTGACTATACGATGACTAGAAGACGTTTTGTCTATATGAAATTGTTGCGTGCTATTGCTGATCATAAACTTGTGTTTCTCTCACTTACCGCTATTTATTATATGTGTTGGGGTCCTAGAATGAGGACACAACGGCAAGTCGGACGATAACTCTCTTTTCTCATTTGATAACAACTTCTTATGTAGTATTATTATCCCCGAAACGAAATAGTTTGGTATATTTTTAATTATTATCAACGCTCGTGAATCGTATTCACCAATTCATGATATTAACTTACAACGATGGGGCCTTCGAAGAGTCAGAGAATTAAATTTTCCTGAATTTCAAGCATCAGAAAAATGGTTGAGAAATTTCAAGAACCATCAGAAAATATGTCGTCGAAAAATAATCAAATTGGTAGCCAATCGAGAAGTGCAAGGTTGGAATAAAATACTCCATTCGGCTAACACATAAGTAGTTCAGAAATTAATCCTTGAATACCATCTAAATGAAATTTTTAATACTAATCAGAAGAGAACAAAGTACATTCTACTCGCACATCATCTCATCGCATCATCGTCGTGAAACATTAACGTTAGGATCTGTTCGTTCAGTTAATTGTACAACAAATACTTAGACTATTCAACCAATAATTAGTTTAGATAGTCGATTAATTGGTCCCATCTTTCTCTGTTTACAAGAGCTAAAAGAGGGTTTAAGTGAAAATTTGAAAAATAAATTATTTATTGCTGAAATTTATGATCGAATAACTTTAATTAGTAATAAGATCTTGATAGATCCGACTCTGTCTCGCAGAAATGTGTCGTTTTCTAGTGAAGGAATTCTCTAGGTATATCTTGTGCAGCTTCGGTTGTGGTAGATAGATGTACAGTTGTTTCATTGGGAGTATTTGTTTGATTGAAAGAAAAGGTTTGGATAAACTTTCTATGCTAACTTCTTTGACGGTTATCACGAAGCAATTTCTGACGACGGTATTTAGATGGCATAAAAAAACTACTGAATATTTTATGTACAGTTAAAAACTCGAGTAAATAAATATTAGTAGATATGCATTAATCAAAACATCTCCTAAATACGCCTTTATCATAACCGAATAACAGTTTATGATTTACATTAGATATAAAGAAAAAATCCATTACATCTGTACATAGATTGCTCTACACACAC